TTCACCATGTTGACCAGGATGGTCTCGATCTCTTGACCTCGTGATCCACCCACCTCGGCCTCCCAAAGTGCTGGGATTACAGGCTTGAGCCACCGAGCCCGGCTGTGCTCCCCATTTTAAAAAAACGGATGTTGAAAATATTATATATTCACAGGATATCACTGTGGAAGACAGCGTGGAAATTCCTCAAGGATCTAGAACCAGAAATACCACTTGACCCACCAATCCCATTACTGAGTATATATCGAAAGGATTATAAATCATTCTACTATAAAGACACATGCACATGTATGTTTATTGCAGCACTCTTCACAATAGCAAAGACGTGGAACCAACCCAAATGCCCATCAATGATAGACTGGATAAAGAAAATGTAGCACATATATACCATGGATTACTATGCAGCCATAAAAAAGGATGAGTTCATGTCCTTTGCAGGGACATGGATGCAGCTAGAAACCATCATTCTCAGCAAACTGACACAGGAACAGAAAACCAAACGCCGCATATTCTCATTCATAAGTGAGTGTTGAACAATGAGAACACATGGGCCCAGGGAGAGGAACATTACACACTGGGGCTTCTCAGCGGGTGGGAGACTAGGGGAGGGATAGCATTAGGAGAAATACCTAATACAGATTTCGGGTTGATCAGTGCAGCAAACCACCATGGCACATGTATACCTATATAACAAACCTGGACATTCTGCACATGTACCCCAGAACTTAAGGTATAATTAAAAAAAAATTCAAGTAGAAACAAGAAAAAAGAAAGTATTAAATAAATATAAATAAGCGTAAAAAATAATAATATAGAGGCCTCATGTATAGAAACCTCCATGTGTAGAAATCATATAGAAGTCTTTCACCCTGTTTTCCCCAATGGGGAAGACCCATATATCTTATTCCCTTATGCCCTTTGCAGTCAGTTTTTACCTATCCTCAGCTCTCTGTAACAATTAAACTGTTTTCTCTCACTATAAATTAGTCCATTCCAAAATTTTTTAGTCCATCCCAAAACTTTGTAAATAAATGAAAGCATGCAATATTTTCTCTTTTGTGTCTGACTTCTTTTGCTCAACATTCTGTGTTTGAGATTCATCAGTATTAATGCATGTGTTAGTAGTTTCTTTTAATTGCTGTGTCACACCCCAATGCTTGATTATACCACAGTTTGCTTATTCATTCACCTTTTGATGGACATTTAGGTTGTTTTCAGTTTTTGGCTATTTATAAGTAAAGTTGCTGTGAAGACTCACCTACAAGTTGTTGTTGTTCTTGTTGTTTTTGAGACGGAGTTTTGCTCTTGTTGCCCAGGCTAGAGTGCAATGGCTTGATCTCGGCTCACTGCAACTTCCGCCTCCTGGGTTCAAGTGGTTCTCCTGCCTCAGCCACTCGAGTAGCTGGGATTATAGGCATGTGCTGCCATACCTGGCTAATTTTGCATTTTTAGAAGCAGTTTCTCCATGTTGGTCAGGCTGGTCTTGAACTCCCGACCTCATGTGATCCACCCGCCTCAGCCTCCAAAAGTGCTGGGTTTACAGACGTGAGCCACTGTACCTGGCTCATCTATAAGATTTTTTTTTTTTTTTGTGGATTTGTTTTCATTTATCTCGTGTAAGTAAGAGTAGAACTGTTGGGTCCCGTGGCTATTGAAGGTATGACTTTCTAAGATATTGTTTTCCCAAGAGGGTGAACCATTTCGTATGCCTGCTAAGCAGTATATTTGAGTTCCTTTTTTGCTACAACCTTGCCAACACTTGATATTGCCAGTCATTTTAATTTTCGTTATTCAAGTTGTTACTTAGTGGGATCTCATTGTGATTTTATTTTTTTTCTCCAATGACAAATGATGTCTAACATCTTTTTGTATGCTTAATAGTCGTATATATTCCATTGTGAACTGTCTGTTCAAACCTTGTGATGATTTTTCTTGGTTGGGGCAGGTTCATGTGGTATGTGGGTGTCTTCATTCAATAAATAATTGATGAATGACTGAATGACCTAAGTTTGATTTGAATATATGTATTTTCCTTTAGGCCACTTGAAACAGTAGATATAGTACCAGTCAAATAAAATAGCTCAAATTGGGTTTTATTAGTCTATTTCAAAATGAGCAGGTGTAGCCGGAATCTTATATTGAACGTGATATTAAAGATCAGTAGTTTCCTCCCCTAGGCAGGAAATATCATCATCTTCACCATCACTATCATTCTCATGATTTGCTCTTTTTGACCATGGGGAAGTTATCATTTGAAGACATGAGTTTTGTGGCTCATGTGATTCCCGGGTTGCTGCATTGTTTCTCTAAGGCAAAAAATGCTCTTACCTAATTTGTATCTTGTCTAAAAATGGAAAGACAGCCACAGCCTAGTTATTTTTAGCTGTCATTGAAGCATCTTTCTCCATTAAGAGAGAATGCTAGTTAGGTTGATCTACAAGCCTTCTGTTGATCCTGTAGGCTGTAATTTTTGATGATGATTTTTTAAAATATGTCTCTTTTCTATGACACATTTTTGGATAATATAATATTTTTAGCTTTTCTTTTGTTCTGTTAAGTGTAGAGAATTACAAAGAAACAAACACAGACTTACTTAGATAACTATGCTTTAACAACTACAACAAAAGCAACATACATTTAGTGTTTAAAAAGCAACACGGGGTAGGGAGATGTCTATGTCTATGTGTGTCTCTCTGTCTGTGTGATGAAGAGTAAAGTCTACTTATTTATCCCCAGCTCAAGTCCTTTTTCCTAAATGAAATTGGTGTTAAAACTTTCTTATGATTCCTCCTATTAATACCCAGTATTCCCTTTTCTAAATTCATTTTTACAGAAAAGGAATCAGACATTATGCACAGTTACACACATTTTCTCCCAGGGAAATCTAGCTGACGTAGAGTAGTTGTTATATGGAGGAACTGCTTTCATTGCTCCCTTTTGGTTGTTTCTAGGTTTTTGTTTTCATTTATTTACTGTCATAAAAAAAGCTATAGTAGGGCCAGGTGCAGTGGCTCATGCCTGTAATCCTAACGCTTTGGGAGGCCGAGGCAAGCGCATCACTTGAGGCCAGGAGTTCAAGATCAGCCTGGACTACATGGTGAAACCCTTTCTCTACTGAAAATACAAAATTTAGCTGTGTGTGGTGGTGGGTCCCTGTCATCCCAACTACTTGGGAGGATGAGGCAGGAGACTCACTTGAATCTGGGAGGCAGAGGTTGCCTTGAGCCAAGATCGTGACATTGCACTCCAGCCTAGGTGACGGGGTGAGACTTCATCTTTTTTTTTTTTTTTAAAAAAAAAAGCTATAGTAATACTCATGGAAATTTGAGCAGACTTTTACAAGTATACCTGTAGAGTAAATTCCTACTAGTCGAATTCCTGGTCAAAGAACATTTTATCATTTGACAGTTATTGCTGGATTGTCTTCCTTAAGGTTTCATCAATTTACTCTTTTAGTAATAGTCTCTACATGGTCTATGGCACATATTTAAATGTAATAGGCTACATTAAACTCTTTGATGTTTTAGTCTTCTAGTATTATGTGAAACAGGATCTCCAAATTAATGCATTGCCAGTGCCATTTTATCTAATGACGGTCTTGCTTGACTTTACCCCTGCAGAGGAAAATCTAAAGTACATCCTCCTAGTGACCAGGCATGGCAGGCTAGAATTACATCCTGTTGCTTTCACGCACTCAGTTCTTGGTTACTCCTTTTCCAGGAGGACGCTGTTGTTGATGTGATATGTCTATTTTATGTATTTTCTGCAGGAGGAAGGCTGAACAAGGACCTGCGACATTTTCTCAGTCAGCGGTTCCAGAAAGGGTCTCCTGATCATGAGCTCCAGCAGACCATAAGGGATAACCTTTACCGCCATGCTGTGCCTTGTAAGTAGCCAGGTTTTGGCATGTCACTGCTGGGGTGTGTGTGTGTGTGTATAAAGTCCAGGGGAGAAAGGAGATCTCAAAAACTGGTTCCAGAACACCTGGTGTCTTGCCTACTGAGTGACTCCTTAACTCAAGCAAATCAGAATTGAAAATGAGACAGTAGCACAATGTCATGGTGTGCCTGGGTTTCAGTCACGGCTTTGCCGTGAGGGGCAAATTATCTACCCTTTGTAAGGCCCACTTTTCACATTAGTGGAAAGGACATGTCATTGATACTAGTTTCATAGGACTGCTATGAGGAGTCAATGAGATGAGGGACAGAAAGCATTTTGTAAGGTAATAGTGTGCCGTAAGTCTCCATAAATGTTAACCATTGCTGTTATTAATAGAGTAGAGCAGGCCAGCGGCCTTCGGACTGACCAGTTGGCTCTCTCTTCCTTCTCAGGGTTCTCCTTTTGCCAGCTTTATCAGATTCATAAGTCAGGTTTTTATGTATAATTTTGTTTGAAGAAACGATTTCCACAGATCAAGAATTCCCAAACCTCCAGACCACTAGATTACACCAAATCTGAAAAAACAAGACACAGGACACAGGAACGCTGAAAGCAGAGTGTCTCTGTTAAAGAAAGGCAACTTGTTGTCTGTCTGTCTGTCTGTCTGTCTGTCTGTGGGTGGATAAATTGGCAGCTCAGTTGTAGTGAAGTATCACCGTGCTGTGGCACACTGTGTTCCTGGTTGTTTAACTTCTTTTAAAATACGAGGAAGGAATGATTCTGGTTTTATTACTTAGGATTTTTCTTTCTCTTCTCTACTACCCAGTCCTTCAAAGTTTGAAATTTATTTTCTTAGAAATACCATTTTTTAAAGCAGCAAAAGAAAGGAGGAATAATTTAATGTTCAAGGTACCCTGCTTATTTCCATGATTTGTTTGCTATAAATGGTTTTCTTTAAAAAAAATAAATAAATAAAACCTTGCAAATGATATGCTAGAGTGCTATTGTTTCCTGATACTACTTAACAGAATAACAGAAATAAGGCATTCTGTAGATTTGCAAGGACTTAGACTATAGTTCTGGATAATAACCCCCAGAGATCGGATTCTAGAATAGCCCCTGGCTCTCCATTTTACTCCTTAATAAAACAGAAGCTCTGAGAGGAAAAGAGGTTTACTAGAAGCAACTTGAGACACGGCCCCAAGGTTGCCTCTGTCCATGGAGTGGCTAAGCTGCATTTGATGGAGAGGAGGTTGTGATATGTTAATGTGAACTTGTGGTCCTCAGTTCTTTTAGTCTTTTAGCATCGAAGTTGTAAACTGTAATCCTAGTAATAGACTAATAATAATTTCTTATATTCTGGCTTAATAATTAATTCCTAATGTTAATCACATACGTGGGGCAAAGATTACTATTCTATTTTTTTTTTTTTTTTTGAGACGGGGTTTCACTCATGTTACCCAGGCTGGAGTGCAATGGCGCGATCTCGGCTCACCGCAACCTCCGCCTCCTGGG